TGCAATTCTGTATACAAGTTAAATTAGTTATTATGAAACTTATGTCATTCTATGAAACATTTTTCTCCCCCAGAGAATTTAAGATGTAAGTGGAGTTATAAAAAAAGAATCTGAGTATCAATGAAATCAAGAATTCATTCAAACTTGTTTTCTGATTTATTTGCTTGAAATATAAGAAAACAAATTGAAAGCTACTTAGTTATTTTAAAAATTAGGGGTGGAAGAAAGTTGCTGCAAATAAGTTGAAGGATGTAGAAGTTAGAATAGATGGAATATGGAAAGAATACATTCAACTTTCCTAGGATCAGAATTATTTTATGTGTAGGCCTTCAGCTTCTGGCAGTATTTAGTAGACCCCAAGGTACTCATAAAAAACAGAGTTAAACCTACTAGATTCCCTATCCTGGCTGTGGTATGAGAGGCTTTGATGTCACTTGTTTGAAAAACTGTTGATGAACTTGCTCATGCTTGAGTAGTAATCTTTTTTTTAAATAAAGCTTGCCTGGGTTTGGTGCACAACCATTAATATGTTTGCAAAAAGAGGCACCAGGTCAAGTGACAGGGTTTGAAAGTCTTCACCTGCAGTTTTCTGGCTTGCTTTCCTTGTTTGGTATACCACCAAGTAGCACATTAAATACTTTTCATTAGAGACAGAATGAAAACTATTTTGATGTAGTAGTGAAGGCATCAGGCTAAAAACTAGGACATTATGAGTTCTAGTGCCACTTTAAGCACAAAGCCTAAAGGTGAAGATGGTGTAGTCATTTTCTCTTAGCCCTAGGACAAGGTAATGACAAACCACTTCTGAAAACTCTTGCCAAGAAAATTGCAGGGATTTTTCCAGGCAGTCTCCAACAATCAGACATGATTGAATGGAATTAAAAAAGGAGAGGTTGGACAGGACATTATGGGAAGATCCTGAGTTATAGAACAATAATTTAAAAAAAAAACCTAAACAAACTTTGTCATTCAACTGGTGGTCTATTTATCTTCTGCCGGCATAGTTTTGCTAATATCCAACTGATCATTTGGAAGAGATCATAATAAACCCTTCTGTTCTTCAGGATGGTTGTGAAAGAAATATTAGAAAGGTTTACATTTGTTTTTCATTAATTGCAATCTAGTATTCTATCCATACTCTGAAATGTGTTATAAGATAAAGAGTGGTTAACTCAAGCTGGAAACAGAAGTTTCTCGTTTCCTACTTATAGCTCTGGGAAGAAAAGATGAGAAGGATTTTGATACTTGCCAAGTCATGGTAAATGAGATTGGAACTAGCTCAATCTTTTCCCCTCATTATTTGTTTCTGTAATTTAAAATACATAGGATTGCATGAAAAAAAACCCAGGATGAAGAACTGCTGAGTCCTACAAAACTAATCCATTTAGAAAAAGAGACAAAATCT